AAAAAAAAAGAAAGAAGGTCACTGACGGCAGGCGATTAGTTGTTGTTGTTTTTGTAGTTATTAGAAGATAACAAGCTGCCAAAATTTCCGATCATACAATTATTCATTCTATCTCATCTCATTTTTTTTTCTTCTCTCCTTAAACTCGTTCATCTTATATTTCAGATATTCTACGTATCTCTATATGCAATGCACATAACGATCCCCCTTTAGGCTAGCGCAAATCGACACAGACCGTTAAACAAAATGAATAGTATGCACAGCTGTGTCAGTGTCAGCCTAGAGGATAGAAAGAAAATCACAAATTGTTGTTATATACAGCTGTGACTACTACTCTTTACTATTTTAGTGTGCTCATTGTCTTCTAGACTTGTTTTTAACGAATAATAATAATAATGGCAGAAAGTGATTCAGTACCAACAGAAATACATATATATAAACCCGATGAACAAGGTAAACATTTTAATGAAAACAAAAAGATTTCTGAAAATTCGTTTTTATGTATTAGGTAATCAAATAGTAATTGAAGAAGAAAAAAATTGGACAAATAATGATGATTCGAATTCAACCGAAACCCATCATCATCAAAAACAACAAATTATTATTGAAAATCCAAATGATCCTCATTCGACTATTACTCATCATATTGAAGATAGTCAGGTAACAGTTGGTAATGAAAATTTTTCATCTGTTTTACCAATTGACGACAAATCTCAGCAAATCCAAGGTGATAATTTACGTTTATAATAATAAGATAGATTAGATTCTTTTCTATTCTAGACAAGACTAATGATGTAATTGATACAGCACAAGATAAAGTAAAGGAAACAGTTGATGTCACAAATGAAAAAGCAGCTGAAATAAAACATGATGCAATTGCTACTGCGCATAATGTTCAAGAAAAAGCAGAAGAAGTTACACATAATGTTCAAGGTAGACTTATGTTAACTGAAAATATTCCAACGAACTATTTTTTTTAGAAAAAGCAACTGAATTAAAAGAAGATGTAGTTCATGCTGCACATGTAGCAGGAGAGAAAGCAGCTGAAACTGCACATAATGTTCAAGGTAATATTTTTACCTTTAAATATCTTCTTTCCAATAATCCATATTTTACAGATAAAGCTATTGAATTGAAAGATGATGCAGTTGCTGCTACTCACGTCGTAGGAGAAAAAGCGAAAGAAGCAGCACATAATATTCAAGGTAAAATTTTGATTATATAAATATCTTGTTTATATAAAATGTAATTTTTTTTAGATAAAGCTGCTGAACTAAAACATGATGCAGCTGTTGTTGGTCATGATGTACAAGAAAAAGCAATAGAAATAGGACATAATATTCAAGGTAAAACATTTATCATCTATAATCTCTTCTTTATATTAGTATCTTACAGACAAGATTGGAGGAGTAAAAGATAATGTTGTTGCATTTGCTCAAGCAGCAGGAGAAAAAGCGAAAGATGCAGCACATAATGTTCAAGGTAATAGTTTAATTAGATATATCTCTTATCTATATGAAATATTTTTCAGAAAAAGCTGCCGAACTAACACATGATGCACAAGAAAAAGCAATAGAAGTAGCACATAATGTTCAAGGTAATATTTCTATCACTGAATCCTTTCATTCAAACAATCTTTTATAGATAAAGCTGCTGAATTAAAACAAGGTGCAGTTGATACTCTTCATAAAGTGCAAGACAAAGCTGCAGAAACAACACAAGATGTCAAAGGTAGAACTTCCGGCTAGATACATTCATCTTTCATGCATATGTTTTACAGATAAGGCTGTTGAATTAAAAGAAGATACAGTTGCTGCTGCTCACGTCGTAGAAGAAAAAGCTGCAGAAACAGCACATAATGTTCAAGGTAACATTTTTATCATAAGGTTTTTTTTGTTTATATATGAATTTCATAGATAAAGCTGCTGAATTACAACATAATGTAGCTGCCACAGCTCATACAGTAGCAGAAAAGGCTGAAGAAGCAGCACATAATGTTCAAGGTAATATTTTTCTAGAGATAAATTTCTTGTTTATATAAAAAAATTATGCAGATAAAGCTGTCGAACTTAAACATGATGCAGCTGTTGTTGGTCACAACGCACAAGAAAAAGCAAAGGAAGTAGCACATAATGTTCAAGGTATTGTTTTTTGCTTTCGAATTGTTTCATGTGAACAATATTTTATAGATAAAGCTGTTGAATTAAAAGATGATGCAGTTGCTGCTACTCATGTTGTAGAAGACAAGACAAAAGAAGCAGCACATAATGTTCACGGTAGAATTTTGATTACATATATCTCTTGTTTATATGAAAAATTGTGTAGATAAAGCTGTCGAACTCAAACATGATGCAGCTGTTGTTGGTCACGATGCACAACAAAAAGCAAAGGAAGTAGTACATAATGTTGAAGGTAATGTTTTCATCTTCGAATTATTTCGTTTAAACAGTATTTTATAGATAAAGCTGCTGAATTAAAAGAAAATACACTTGCTGCTACTCATGTTGCAGAAGACAAAGCAAAAGAAGCAGCACACAATGTTCAAGGTAATACTTCTATGAGATAATTCTCTTCTTTCTAACAGCACTTCTTCAGATAAAGCTGTCGAACTCAAACATGATGCAGCTGTTCTTAGTCACGGTGTTGAAGCAAAAGCCAATGAAGCAGCACATAATATTCAAGGTAACATTTTGATTATATAAATCACTTATTTATGTAAAACGGTTTTTTAAATAAAGCTGTCGAACTAAAACATAATGCAGCTGTTGTTGGTCATGATGTACATGATAAAACAAAAGAAATAGGACATAGTTTTCAAGGTAAAACATTTATCATCTATAATCTCTTCTTTATATTAGTATATTACAGGCAAGACTATAGAAGTAAAAGATAATGTAACTGGTATTGCTCATGTAACAGGAGATAAAGCGAAAGATGCAGCACATAATGTTCAAGGTAATATTTTAATTATATGAATGTTTTTTCTTTCTACGAGAGTTTTTTAGACAAAGCTTTTGGACTAAAACATAGTACAACTGCTGCTGCACATGGTGCTCAAGGTAATATTTTGAATTTCCTGTATTTGATTATTTTCTTACAAAAAAAGAAAAATATTTCAATGCGAAGAGAAAACTTACATGAGTTGTTTTTTTTTCTTTTGATCATCTATTCGTCTAAGAGATATATGAATTTCAATCATTCTTCATAAAGAAAACACAATGTGTCTAGAAGTCAATCCATCATTTTATATATTTCTTTCTTGTTCCGATATACGAATTTTTCTTTAGATAAAGCTACTGAATTAAAACATGATGCATCTGTTGCTGCTCAAGATGCTAAAGAGAAAGCAAAAGAAGTAGCTAGTAATACAAAAGATGCTTTTGTAACTGGTGAAAAAGCAGTTGAAAATAAATTAGCTGCTGCTAAAGATACAGTTAATGGTGAGTATAATAAATAATTTAAGATTGTTTTTTTCAATGTATATTATTTAGAAAAAGCAGGTGACTTAGCTGATAGTGCAAAAAATACTGCTCATGAAGCAAATGTTAAAGCACAGAAATTAGAAAAATCAGCAGAACAAAAACTAGATGGAGCTAAAAATTGGCTTAGTAAAAAAGGATCGGAAGTTAAAGCTAAAGGTGCTGAAATTATTGGTGCAACACAACACGCACTAGCTAGTGGTGCTGCAACTGTTACTGATAAAGCTAAACAAGGAATAGAAATAGCATCTGAAGCTGCATCAAACGCTAAATCAGCTACTGGAAACTTAGCATCTGATGCTCAACATAAAGTTACTGAAACTGCTCATAATGCCCAAGGTTTATATATATTTAAAACATGTCTCATCAGTTCTTATCTCTATTTTAGTAAAAGCTAATGAATTATTAACAAATACTGGAAACAAAGGTGCAACTGCTGCTGATACAATTACTACACAAACTGTCGAAACAAGCAATACTACTGTATCAACTGGACAAAGTGCAGTAAAAACAATACAAGGTAAATTTATTCTATATTTTGTTTTTGCATAAACTTATCTATATTATTTCATAGGAAAAACAAGTAGTATATTAAATAGTACGAAAAAATTATTATCATCCGTATCAAGTTCTTCTAAATCAACACCAGCCGTTGTACCTGGTGGTACAAGTCATGTTTCTCAAGAAGCCTATGTTACTGAAACATCTCTTCAAACAACTCATGGACAAGAACCAATTACTTTAGAACCAACAGCACCAGCTCCAACAAAAAGTAGAGGTGGTCCAATAAATGCTATTCGAAATTTTTTTAGTCGATTATTTGGTTCATCTTCTCAACGACGAAAAGCTAATAATGATGGTACAGCTAATCCTACAGCTGAAACTACTTCAACTAGTATACCACCAACAACACTTGCAACAAGCAATCCACATGTATTATCATGAAATATTTATTCTTCTATTTTAATCCTTCTATAGCGTATTTGCCTGGTAAATAAACAGTATTTAAACTGGAGAAAAACAAAATCGTTTTTCTTTGTTCTATTCGTGTATACTTACATACTTACTTATTATTCTATGTATGCTATTGTTTCGTTATTATTATTCACCTTACTTTTTTGTCTTTTTCTTTTTTATTCATTTGCATTTTTTTTTTCTTCGTCTTCTTCTTTGTGTCGATAAAACAGAAGTATTATAAAAAGATAAAATATGTTTATTATAGAATGAATTGTGAGAAAATCATGTTATTTCTTTTTAATTTCAAAAATAATTTGTTGATATAGTGTGTATAGATCTAGTAGCTTTTTGCTTGCAAATGTTTTGTTCGCTTAATTATATTTCAAAATGTTTTCATTATTCAGTTTTTTTTTCTTTTTAAATGTTATTTTTATTTAAACATAAGTACCTTTTCATTCAATGTAGTTACATTTAGGATAAATAATATTAAAACAGAATTGAATTATTTATTTCAATGAATATTAATCATTGATGGATGTTAAAGTATATTTATCTTGTTTTTAACTTGTCAAAAGACTTTAAGTAGATATATATATATTAGATTATGTCTTACTAATATTGAAGCATTTAACATAAAAATCAATGACTAATGCTAATTCGAAAGTGTTCGAACTGAAATTGTGATGTTTTAAAAAAAACCTATATCGAATGATTCTATTCAAAACTAGTTTTTATTGATTTTTTCTTGAGATCATTTATTTTTATGTTTTCTAAGTTATGAGGAATAATGTTTCTTCTTCTAAGAAAAGCGAATTGAGTTGCTTTTTTTGTATTATCAAGATAGATTGTCATATTTTTAAATACTAATGTAACTTTTCTAGGAGATGTTTTTTGATTAGACAGACAAACGCTACGGGCAATGAGAAATCGAAAAAATCTCCTAAAGAAATAACATTACTGTTCGATTTTTATATACACTTAGGTCTTTAAATACTAGTGAGACTTATAAGACCCACTTTTCTAAAAGTTGATAAATTCTGAATAATTCATGAATGCAGAGCGATGACGAAGTGTGGCTTTCGCTACGACATAGAAGAGACACATATTTATGTAAGAATAAAAACCCTGCTGATGTCACTGAGTCAGTTTTTAGCACCCGTCCGTGTACCCCAAGGATGTGGTTGAAATACTTCTTACCATTTCCGTAAACGAAATATCAAGTTTTAAAGAGATTTCGTTCATAGGTTGAATCATGAGCCTCAAAAGATTAACAATATCTGTACATTGGATAATGTTGTTTGTTGTCTTCTTTTGTGTAGTCTGATATGTGCGTTTTTTCTAATTCTCAATTAAGCAATTAAAATGAGTTTATCAGATAAAAATCTACGATTTTAATGAAAACGAGAAAAAAAAGATTTTTTTATTGTTAATCACATCTCATATATTTTCTCATCATCAATATGTTTATCTGCTGAAGAGAAAGAAACTCATTCGACATACTTATTAGTTTCTCATCATCGTTATCACATATTGTTCATCAAAAGATTAGGTCGGACATTGTCTTACTTTCCATTCAAAGAAGATGATCGTAGTATTATGTTAGTTAGTCTTAAGGGCACATATTCTCATTGATGCGCGATTGAATGCACTAATAGAATTATGTTGAATGTGTGAAAAAGAAAAATATCCCATATGTTTATTATCGTAAATATTGATATATTATCGAGATATCAAAAAAATCTAATTTAATTTTAAACCAATTGAATTAAAGAGAAATTAAATGATTTTTATAAGACTAAGAATTGGCATTATACAATATTATTGGAAAAAATAAATAAATACCTTTTGATTTCTATACTATTGATGAATTTTTTCTTGCATAATATATTAAACTGCTATAAATCTCGTTTTTCTTCAATAAATTATTTTGTTATTAATATTAAAGATCGATAGGGTAATCATTTTTTCTAATTATTTCTCAATCGACAATAGAGATTCAAATCCCAAATGTATTTTCTATATTTGAAATACTATATACATTCAACTATGTGCATGTAATCAGTATATCAAAAACAATTTATAATATGATTAGTAAATAAATCAACTTTCTTTTTTTTCTCACTCTTCGACTATATATATATATATATATATATCGATCACGCTTCACAATTACTAATTGCTCAAAACATTCCAACATACACATATATGTGATTGAGAGAAAGAAAACGAAGAAGTCACGTACAAACAATGATGAGTGATTGAAATAAATACAGATTTCAATCTACTTCAATGATCGATTGTTTTTTTTTGTTAGTTGATCAACTGAAAAAATTTTCAATAAGAAAATGAATGAGAGATAGTCTTTCATATAATTTGATATTAAAACTTTTACTCGGACAATTCGTAATATGAATTATTTATTTGAAAATTAAACAAGTCAATAAAATCACATAAGTATCCTTCGTTTCTTTTTGTTATAGAAATATATTCATGTAGGTAATGATAACAATCGCATGTGCTTGATTCTGTCGTTTTTCTTTCGTATTGATTGATGATCAAGCTATCGTCATCATGTTTACACGACGAATAGATATTATTTTAATCGAGTTAGTCGCTTATCATACACTCTTTAGATGTGCGTGTTCATAGAGGCGTGGTTTCACTTGTCATCGATACTATACATTCACATATATATATACGAATGAATTGTGCGCCCTGTTATTTAAGTCGGCATGATAACTTTAGAAAAAAACGAAAGGATTTTAAACTGATACTTGATGATAAATAATAAAAAATAGATCAAATATCAAGAATAATATTTTGTTTCTATGATCTATTCTTCATCTTTTCATATAATATCATCAACAATTGCTAACCTTTTTCTCTTCGACTTGCTTATATTTCTCAATGGCTAATTTATTTTTCTAATCGGTTTTCCAGAAAGAAAATTTTCTTCTTACATCTTTGATGTACTACCATATATATATATATATATGTAACGACTCATGTTCGTCATCATCTTCATCATCATTCATATTTGCTATCATAAGTATCTTTTTACATGATTGGTTCGACAAAATGATATACTATGTATCTCTTATTACATGAAGCAAAAAGAAAGAGAGAGGAAAAAAAATGCGATTACAATTGACCAATCATATTCGAAATAAAGAAGGCAAGCAAAGAGAGAAAGAGAGAGAAAAAAAACAACAATGATTTACACAATCATTTTGTTACTATATTCTAACTAGTATAACTTGATACTTGTCAAAACAAATATAAAAGTCTTGATTATGGGTGCCAATGATCATCAATTATATCTTTCATCACCTGATTCAACATATTCAAGATCATCATCATCATCATTTTCTCCTTCATCAATTTTGCTAAGTACAAAACAATCAACAACAACAGTAAAATCTTTTCTAATATCTGATATATTAAAACCAAGTTTTGGTCATCAAAATGATAAATGTAACATTCCTCTATCACCAACAGCTACAAATGATTCAACATCATCTTCAAATCGAAATGGACAATCGGATTTATTACCAGCATGGGTTTTTTGTACACGATATTCTGATCGACCATCAGCAGGTAGATAGAAAAGCCCTAAACAAAAATTAAAATCTTGACAAAATAAATATTTAGGTCCACGTATAAGAAAACCAAAACCATGCGAAACACTTGATTCCAAACGACCTCGAACTGCATTTACTAATAGTCAATTAATACGTTTAAAAGATGAATTTGAACGTAGTAAATACCTGACTGGTGAACGTCGACAAGTATTAGCTAATGAATTAGGTTTAAATGAAGCACAAATTAAAATTTGGTATCAAAATAAACGTGCAAAAATTAAGAAAGTATCTGGCGTAAGAAATACATTAGCAATGCAATTAATGGCACAAGGTTTATATAATCATACATCGGATAATAAACATATTCAAAAGGACTAGGAGGCAAGCAAATTATTTCGTTTTTGTTCTTTTCTATGTAAACTTCTAGTCAAACTCTCACTCTCTTCTTTTCTTTTCTCTTTTTTTTCTTTATTATTATTTGTTGTACAGCGAACAAAAATATAACAAAAGTGATTTCCTTTGTAGCAACTGTTTGTTATAATCGATCATTATAGTTAATATAACAGGTATCATTTATTGTCAGTCGGTACGATTGATTGAAATGAGATTGTTTTATGACTTGAACAGATCTTTTACTTCTGTTAATTCGATAAATATAGAGTAGAATGTTGATTACACATAGACTCAAGGGAAATTTTAAATTGTAGCTTTCTCGCTCTCTCTCTCTTTTTCTTTTCTATGATTCTAATCGAACTATGGCGGCAATAAATGACTTAGCATATGAAAGTTTAATGAGCATGGACAGTGAATTGATCATTGCATGAGCATAAACATTGAGTTTCGCCTTTTTTGTTCAAAAGGAAAAAATGAGCAGATGAAAAGGAGGAGCTATTGAAACTTATTGTTTTTTTCCCATCAAAGAAATATAACTTCAAGATTAATTTCTACGATAAAAACAGTGACGGATCTCGGATTTTAGAAGGGAGGGGCGATTTTGGCTAAAAACTATTTTTGAGTCCAATCGAAGTAGTGTGAACCTATTTTTTCGTTCATTTTTGCTGTAAAAAATCAAAAAAAATTTTTGAAGGTGGGCGGTCACTTTCATCGCCCTTCCCAAATCCGCCTCTGGATAAAAACAGAATCAGTAAGATCCTGCAATTTTAGTCCATAATCTCATAACTATTAATGATAGTATAACTCTGAAATCTTTGAATAAGATATTGTATATGAAATATTTATTTTTAACGATTTTACTGTCATTTTTTTTAATCTTAATATATTACCTTGAATTGTCAATATTATATTGGAAAGTATCATATTACGGCAATCATAATTGATTATAAATGTCAACTATTACCTGAGTTTAGTATCTTGTGCTTGATTACTATCTAGAAGTAATCAATAATGTTTACTTACTTAGTTAATTTTTTGTTAGATTTGATTTAATCGAAATTTTATTCCAAAGACAAAATCGGATATTTATATGATGAACCAATCATTAACATATGGGATGAATTTTTCCATATATTGAATTCATTGATAGTACAATAATCAAAGCTTATGAGAAATGGATAGCATTATAAAATCTGCACATTTATCCATAGAAAAAGAGAGAGACTGACGAATTATGTACACAAATTATGAACTAAAAAAACAGGGTAATTTTTCGTTCAGTTTTTTTTCATCATTATTGTTTAGTTTCAAAAAAAAAACTTTTTAGAATCACTGAGAAAATGCAATAAAAGAAAAATAATAATAAATAACGAGATGATACTATTGTGCACATAGTGAGATTTTGTTTTTTGTTGTTCTTTTATTTACCAAATATGTTGGGCAGATAATTTAAGAATACTTGGGGAAGGTGGTGGTCGAGCTTTCGTTGCTATTAAAGGTCTTTTTTGATGTTGTTGGTGTGTACGAGCCATAGCAGTTGTTCTTAGTGATGAAGATGGAGCTGTTGTTGTTGTTATTGAACGAGTAGGACTTGTGGATGATAGATTATTAAAATCTTTATTAGTATTATTAAATGAAGTTATTGTTATTGGTCGAGACGTTCGTTGAAGTTTTCCAAAATTAGAAGGTATTCGTAATTTTACTGATGTTGAAGGATTTGATCCTATACTTGTACCACTAACAGCTCGTGGCATTGATTCAACAATACCAGAAGTTGTTGTATTTGAACGATTAATTGTTGTTTGATCATTATTCATTAAACGTTCAATATTAATTGGTGGTAAACGAGTATTTGGTTCTGTATGTGTTGTTGTAGCTGAACGATAACGATATGTTGATGATGGTTGTCGAGTTTGATTTTGAGATGATTGTGGTGTCGATGCTGTTGTTGTTAATTGAGATGAAGGAAAATTCGTAACAGCAGTACCAATTAAAGATATTTGTTGTTGTTGATGTCTTTTATCAGTAGCTAAAGATGTTGGAACTCTTTCTGTTTGAGGTAATGTTGATAATATTTTAGATTTTCTTGGTGATGTAGAATTATTTGTTGTTAGACCCGAATTTGCTGTATGTAAACGTGTAACCATTAATAAACCTTTTATATCCGGTTCAGGTGTTGAACGATATGGTGTTGATGCCATTTGTAACTGAGTATTTGTGGCTGATGGATATGAAAGTCGACTTTGTGATAAAGATTGTGGTGGTAAAGAATTTGGTCTTAATTTTGATCGAAGTTTAATTGAATTTCTTTCACATATATGTTTAGCATAACGTTGTAAAGAATTTTGTTGTTCAGAAAAGAATCGTTGAAGTAATTTTGTTGCTAAAGATTTTATGATACTATCTTTCATACATTTTATTGATAATTGTGGATTTTTTGGATGTTTATGATGATGTTTTGAATATTCTTGTGGTGACATATCCGCTGAATAATCATTATTTTCATCATCGTCGTCATCATCAGTATCAAATGAATCAACACCAGCATCACTACTATGATCATCTAGCATCGTATTTGTAGCATTATTATCGTCGGAATCAGAATTATTCGTTAATTCAGATCCCTCAATTGAATTAATGGAAGAACGACCGGATCCAGTCTCATTTATAAGAGGCTAAAAATAATTGTACAATTAAATTAAAATTTTCGTATCTATTCGATAATGAATATGTCTATGTACTTAAGAGAATATTAATCAAATTCAAAACTATTGATATAGAAGAAGATTATCGAATTACATTTCAAATACTATTCTTTCAATCATATGACGATATCAAAATATTTACCTGTGTCATCAAAAAGTCATATAGTTATAAATCAATACATTTTATCTTTATTGACATAATACAACTATTTCAAATAACAAGTTTTTATTTTCATGTACGATTAAATCTGTTCGTTACTTATTCTATAATGAACAGAAGTTTTTGAATAAACTCATTCTTAAAACATCTTATATTTCGAGAAACTGTCTACTATCATTTTTTTTCGCGTCTTTTCGAGTCATAAATCTTAGACAATGCAAATATCAATAAAAGAAACTACTTACATTTAAGTCATTTGAATTCGAACTAGAAATTTTCGAATTACTAACAAGCAGATCTAATGTTGATGATACTGTTGTATCTAAATAAGTAACATCATATTGTTTAGATGATTGAATAAAATTAATGGGTGATTGTTTTTCAATATGTTGTAATCGACCACGAATTCGAAAATGTGGTCTACTTGACCATTCTTCACAAATTTTTTTTATAGATGAACGTTTTGCTTTTTCTTCGTTATATAATACAGAATCTATTTCTTCAAATTCTCTCCTTGAACGTCCATTTGTTTCACGAGCATCATCTTCATTATAACCTGATAAAAGACTTGAGCCACTCACCGAACGAGAACACATTATAGTGAATGGTTGCTATTATTCTTTTTCAAAAAAGAAAATGTGACGAAACTACAAAATGAAAAAAGAAACCGATAGAATATTGTTGAGAGAAGAGGAAAAAAAGATCATACGCAAAAACCAGGAAGACCAGTTCACATATTGTTAGATGAACAAAAGCACGAATAATTCTTTCTTTTTTTTTGCTTCTTTTTTTGTGTCTTGTTTGTCTAAAGTAACGAACACGTAATGAAGTGAATAAGAGCTTTCAAAATAACAAAAACAAATAACTACTTCACATAAAGTAACTTATTTCTGTTCTATATTAAGAGAAGAAAGATCAATAACATTAATGAAGTACACAACATTATTGATAGCAAATCTTTCAACTACGTTTACTAAAATTTCGACACTTTTCAATTCACTATTAGACAAAAAAAAAGGTAAAGAACAAAACAAAAAATTCAATTCTATCTTTACTCTTTCATGAATTTATTTCTCTATATTGGCATGTTTATATGTGACAAATGTTTATTCAATTTTTTTGTCAGCCATTATTATAGTTCATTTCAAAGAGATTGCCAAGAATTTTTAATAATATAAAATTTTTCGAAAGAAATTATCAAAATCTTGCAAACTCAATTCATCATTATAAGATAATATGGATTATTAAAATCAGTTAAAATACTATAATAAGAAAAAAATATTTTCTCGATAGAGGTCGCATTTTAATATGAGAAAAGATAAGATCAGAGCAGTTATTATAGAATTATACGAGAATCTTTATTCAATAAATCTCATGATACACACCTTAGATGGGCGCCTATGGAATTCTTTTAGAATCGCTCACTTTGCGAAGGTACCCGTGCTATCAGTGGCGGATCCAGGATTTTGAAAGAGAGGGGTGATATCTGAGTAGGGGGGGGGTGATATTAGTGGCGTAACCACACTGGGACCAGATGGGGCTTAACCCCATCATCGAGTGTTTAAGCCCCATTACCCGGATTTTTTAGTTATTGAACTTGTCAATCAAAAAATCCAAAAAACTAGACAGTTTTGAGGCTGAGCCCCATCATCCTTAAATTTTTGGTTAGGCTACTAGGTGATATCGGCTAAAAACTATTTTTTGAGTCAAATTGAAGTAGTGTGAACCTATTTTCGCTGTAGAAAATCAAAAGAATTTTCTGAAGGGGGGGGGGGGGCGACGACCGCCTCCATCGCTCCTCTCCTAAATCCGCCACTGCGTGTTATAGAGACTCATTTCAAGCAAAAGTCAATCGGTCAGCTGGTTCACCAAAGTGCCCATATTGAGAAGTTGTTTTATTCAAAGCGATTAATTTGAATGACTTTATTAATAGAATAAAAGATTTTTGATAACAAAAAAAGATCTAACACTAGAAGTATCATATTTTAATCTTTCGTTTGACTCGATGGATTTGAAAATAAGAAGCAAATTTATTTTTATTTCTAAGATAATAAAGCTCGTTGCATATGTTTATCAAGTAATGAATTTTCTCGAAAACGAAATAATGATTGTTCATGATTAAAACATGATTCAATATAAATGATTAATGGTAAAAACGAAATAAAATCTATACGATTGATTTTCATTGTTTTTATATTTGGTACAATACATTGTAATTCATTTGTAACACGTTCAATTTTACCATCTTTTATTCGTTTCATAACTAATTCAAGAAATATTTCATAAGATATTATATGTCTATCTATTGGACATTGATCATTAAATTCGTCTACAAGTTCAAGAATATCTTCATGATAATAATTAAAATCAACATCATCTAAAAATGTTTTCCATAATACTGTACTAAAATAGTTTATAAGTATTATTTATTGAAATTTCTATAAACTATTTTTCTTTACTTTTGTTGTGCTACTAATTCAACAATTATAGCTATGGCATAGAATTCTTGTAAACCAAAAAATGTTGTACCACTAATTACATCATATAGCTAGAAATATAGAATGAAGAATGTTATTTTGTTTAAAGATATTAACTAACCACACGAAAGAAAGTCATTTGTGCATGAGGAAAATTTGGTGGTAAACATATTTGTACTTGAGAATATGATAAATGTCTGAAAAATTTAGTGTATATCTATGCAGATAACCTTATTTATATATACCCATCTTTGTCTGTATCGATTTTATTAAATAAAAGGGTAAGTCGATTCCGTACTGCTTCAGTAAGTAATGTGCCGACATCCATACCCTATTTAAAAATTAACCTGGTGTTTTATTATAATATAATAGTATAAAACCTGAAGTGGACGACGAGATTTTGTTTGTTCGTATATATCTGTACCACCGAAAATTGTTGATCGACTAATAGCACTTCCCGCTCGTGGTGATTTACATTTTAGTATTGCTTTTTGAGAAAGATTTTGTTTTATGGTATGATCTTTAATTAATGTGAAATGAGATGATAGAAGAATTGGTTGAAGATCATCTTGAGGTGAAAATTGATCGATAAGAATTGATGATGGTACTATCGATTGTCTTATTTAAAACATCATATAAGTAAATCAACGAAAATTATGATTATAAAATTAATCTTACGATAAATTACGAAGATGAACTGATGAAGATGGTTTAACAGCTGAAAACAAAAGCAAAATTTTTATAAATGAGTTACTATGTATGAATAGTTTTACTAGTTGATTGTGTTCTATTGACAATTGTTGGTAATTTAATTGGTATGACATTTCGTTTAACAGCAATAATTGGTTGTTGTTTTGATCTTCTTGAAACGTTTATTGGTGAATTAAATGATAGACTTCTTTGTGTTTGTCTTGTCATGATTTATTCTTTTTTTGACTATTAGAGAGCATTTACATCTATAAATTTTTTACTTTGTCGACATTCTTTACTACTTCGTTTCGATTTTAAAAGAAATGAACAATAGAAGTAAAAGAGAAAAGAAGAAAAACTGCATAAGACACTCAAATTTTCATACAAAAATACATGACAGGCAATCATTTATATAAAATAAACAGTGTGTCAATAATTGAAAGAAATAAAGGAATACTTTACATAACCAGGTAACTTAATCGAAATATTTAAAAAGATTTTCAATGACGTTCGTTTTTTCACTATGATAGATGATATGTTTCATAAGATTTATAAGTAATAAATGTACGAATTTACATTATCATGTGTATAGGTATTTATTGTTTGAATAAATATAGAAATGAACACTTTCAACTTGACGTTTACAGTAAGATGCAAATTTCATCAAAGCATATTTTTTCGACTTTTCAAGCAGTCGCTTTAGAACTATTTACAAAGGTCGCCCAGTTGCACTAGGCATCTAATGAGACTGTTACGTTCCCATAAGTGCTGATGAATTTCATGAGAATGGTGCATCTTACACTATTAGAATAATGATTTTTGTAGTAATATTCGAAACTTTCTATGTGATTGATCCATCTGTCTCTACTATCTAACCTGAGTTCACTTAGATCGAATAGTGAAGTGATCTCTCAATCAAATTAGCACGAAGTTATTATATGACCATCGGATAGCGTGACCTTCATACCAAGTACAATCTTGAATCGTTAAATTTTCTCGGATTCAATATAATCTGGATTCAATCTAATCATTTTTTGAAATACAATTCCGACAATCAGCTTTTATTGTCGAAGGTTTTTGACCTGGCAAAGACAAGATAAAATTGGCATATAGCCTCTTAGTTGTTTTACCGTTTCTAAGAAAGCGAGATATTTTGATCTTATTGATTCGAAAGAAGAGCGAAGTTTTTACTAAATACTATAATTATAGATTACAGCACACGCGTAATCTATTAATTGAAAAAGCGCTCTCATCCCTCGTTTCTACTGGGAGAACTTTTAAAAGCTCTAGCAGCAATTGTTTTTGCATCTTATTGTGTATATAAGATTTTATTTTTAAATTATCTTAATTGTAACTATGTTTTTATCTTGTATTTACATTGAAGATTTTCAAAACAATCCAGGTGATAATTAAATGTCTTAAGTTTTATAAATAAATAGATCATTAATTTTCTTTCTGGACTTGACTATATAATTAAAAAAAGTTATATCTATATTTAACTTAATCAAATTGCAACTTGTCAAAAAAGAATGACAGCACAATCTTATTAATTAGACTTCGAGTTGTTCTTGAAGCACACTGCAGGTATATTTCATATTATTTCTATAAATAGATAACATTGTATAACTACAAAATGATTATTATTTTTATTGTTAACAATACTTCATTTACTGATTGATTCTATAAGAAAGAAAACAACAAAGAAAACAAAAACTGTGACAATTTTTTTATAGTTTTTGCATATTTTCAACAACATTGTCTGTTTTAATATTTTCTTCAGTATTTAATGATGATCTATGATAACTAATAGTTAATTCACCATCTACATTAGATGTTTTTGTTAATTCTTTTCGTTTCTTATATTTTCTTATTTGATTTCGTATTATTAATATAATCCAAAATGGTTTTGTTGTTAAAAATGCAACAATCATTGGTACAACTGCTGCTTGTGAGGCATATGGTTGTGGAAATGAATAAAATATAATCATAAATGCTACACCAGTATTCTGTATTCCAGCTTCAATACCAATTGTTTTAATATGTGTCCAACTTAAACGGCTTATCCAAGCTAATAGAGCACCAAATAAAAATCCTAAAAATGGCAATAATGGTGCTGTTAATATCGTATATAAATCGATCATTTTAAGTAAATACCAATGAACCATTGTACCAAATGCAAGAAAAAATATCATTATACATATCATTATTGGTTTAATAAGTTCTTTTACAAATAAACGTGATTTTGGATAAAAATGACTAATACAAATACCAAATGCATATGGTACAACAACAATTGCTAATGATCGTAAAAGAACCCAAAATGGAATTTTAATTTTAAGTTCATCCATATAAATAGTTCCTAATGTAGAAAAATAAATTGGCATCATAATAAATGATGCAGCAGTTGACATAAATGACATTACAGCAGATAAATTAACATCACCATCAAATATAACTGTCCATTGATTTGAAGCACCACTACCTAAAATTAATTTTTTATTTTTATAATATTTATTATATGTATGTATATTTACCTGGACAACAACCAATAACAAATAGAGCAAGACTATACAATGGTGTATAATGAAAAAGTTTTGCAATAGCAATTGCTAGAAAAGGCATTAAACCATATTGAGCAACGAAACCAACGAGAACTGGTGTCGGTTTTTTTAAAATACTTTTTATTACTTCTGTTTCAAGTAAAACTCCCATTATTATTGAAATACCCGTAACTATAATAGGCATAATTATATAAAATATTGTATCAATACGACGTTTTGGTTGAGATATAAGAATATTTAATATTTTTCTATGTGTAATTGAAGTATCATCATCATAAAAGACATCCAAACGAAATGTTAGATTAGCTAAACCCATTGTATTACCATTGATTAACCATATACTATTAATTTCAAGATCATATGCTGAACTTTGATTAAGATTAATTATAGTTGGTGAAAAATATGCATTAAATATATGACCAAGAGCTTTTTTACGAGGCACTAAAATAATGAGATTCAACTATAAAATTTTAATAATTGAATTTCTTATTGAATAAAATCAATTTACAAATTTCTTTTATCGATTTAACTTTTAATTATGTAATAATACTTACAGATATATAGATCTTCTCGAAGGACATTATTTTCAATGCCATTGTCTGTTGCCGTTTCTATTGGTAGTTTAGTTTCTTTTCGAATAGTAACGAGTTCAGAATTTGTAGATTTTATTTGAAATTTAAATCCAATTACATGACTAATATTATAAAAATCATCCGTATAAGTTCGTATTGTTATATAATGTGTTTGAAATAATGGTATTTCATATGATTTATTCGAATAAGGTAACGATGTTTCAATATTTTGAAATTTTCTATTATTAATAAATACTTGAAAATTATCAACATATTTAATAATTGTGATAAACAAGATCACACCTGTCAGTAGTTGTCGTTGCAGCATTCTATTGACTTAAACAGGCTCCGTTTTATCATTATTATATTTACTATGGTTTTACTCCGCTTTATTATTATTACAGAACGGAACAAAAAAGAAAAAAAGAAACAGATGAGAAAAGAACAATCTGAGCAAAGAAAATAGATGACGCCTGAAGATAATCAGGATGTTCATGGAGAAGTGAAGAAGCACAATTGTCTCTAATCGGCTTGTTTCCATATGAATATTTGACCTTTTTCATTACACCCGACTAATCCACGACCATTATGCGTAAAAGCAAGATTTCGAATCATTACTTGAGACTCTCGATGTGTTAATTTAATCGGTCTAATTATTAAAAAAAAAGCACAATTTTAATTATAATAAGAAAAAAAAAGACTGATAACTTACTGAACAGGAAGTGTTGTCATATTCCAAACAAGTATCGAACCATCGAGTCGACCGATAACCAACATCTATAGAAGAAATTTATTTATTATTTAAAAACTTTCTTATTTTAAGCTACCTTTCGAGCGATTGATAAACCAAGTCGAACATCAAATATAATATCATCATTTTCTGCTCGATTCCATCGAAATAAAATATTCGGCTCTTTTTCATTCTCATTAAATTTCCAAATACAATAAATATGATCAGCAGACTTAACAAAGAATTATAAGACTATCATTTAACATTCAAAAAAACAAAACTAACTTTACTGATAATAATATCATCACTAAACCATTTAACTGAATCAACATAATGTTCATGCATTGTAGTCGAATGAAATATCGGAAAATAAATACGATGTGGTTTTGTTAATCTAAATTCAAATAGAATGAAATCAAATCTATCGTTACAATTATTTAAAATCGTATAGAGTAATGAATATATTATACATGAATAGTGAGTATTTTGTCAAATCTTCGTGACGATAGAAGATTTGCATTATCAAGAATCTCATTAAAATATGTTTTCCTGGATGATTCTCACGAGTAATGAATAAAACTTACCTGTTTAAAATTATCTATTGCATAATTACAAAAACTAATTTCCGGAATTCGCATGCGCACATCTCTGTAGTTTTAGTTTTGTGATTTAGAAATGTTCACTCTTATTTTCAATGTTTTTTCTACACTCATAAATGTATTATACCTAAATTCTCTAAATAAAGGTCCACGTTTTGCTATAGCTTTATTTTCCAGTATTTCATTATCTTGTGTTGACCATACGCATATAATATTATCCAAACCACCGGATACAATGAATGTACCATCATAATTCATATCCTATATAAAATAGAAATCGATTTTTCAAATTAATATAAATTCTATTACAGACCACAGCTAGTATTCCTTGACTATGTTGATCAGGTCCACCATAAGTAGCTAAACAAAGAGCTGCTTCAGCATCCCATAAAGCAACTGTATGATCTAGATTAAGTATATTATATAAATCTAAAAAATGAATTTAAAACTAACTAGAACATGCTGATGCCATTAATGTTGATTGTTTACCAGCAAATGAAATTTGATTAACACTACCTAAATGACGAAGCTGAAGAGAAAAAAATTTCAAAATTGATCATTTTTATTGAAATAACAAACCGGTTTTAAATAATTTCGATGAGCAACATCAATAATTCTTACAACACCACGTAATCCTCCGGCTGCTAATATTGTTTTATTTCCAAACATTGTCCATTTACAATCATAAAAATATTCTTTATCCTATTATGAAAATATATATTAAATTCTTAGAAATAATAATATCTTAATTTTACATCGGAATCAGAATAACTTTGAATAAGTTTTGCGGATGATTTCTTATTAACAATAGTATATTTATAAATACAAATCTATCAAAAACATATAAATTATAAACAATCAAGATAATCTCGTCGTATACTTGATTTATAGCACAAGTAGCGAAGAAAAATGCTGCTTCGTTTTCATCTGGTATTGCTTGTTGACAAATACTAATTCCATAGATTGCTTGTTTATGATTTTCCTTGAATTATAAAAAATAAAAAAAACTAATTTGATTTGATTCGAAAAATATTACTGTGATTATATGAGCACAATGAAAATTTCCGGTATCATATTCTTCCTCATCGCTACTCATTGTTCGAATTCTGTTTTTTGTCTATATAAAATATGACCGCATTTTTAATATAGATGACGTATATACATATAAATATATATGTCGACCGCCGTGTATATATATACATAGAAAAAAAACATGACCGCCACTCATAATTTTATTACATATGAAACAGACAAAATGAGTGAGAAGGTAACAGCAGGGTTCTCTTTGAGAATGTATACATATTGACCGACACAAGAAACAGCTTGAATGAAGTGTTATGTATATTATGAACTGAATTGTAGAAAAAGATTTTTAACAAACAGACCATCATGCCATTAATTCTTAAAAGCTGAAATGTCCTTTCTAAAGGACGTTGCAATATAATGTGATAGACAAAGGAACGAGTCAATCTTGAGAGATCTATTAACGTCACTTTTTGATCTTGATTATTTGTGTCAACAACATGAAAATTTGTTTTTTTTCTTCAAGCGATATCGTGAGATTTTTTTTATCAGGCTATCAAATGAACCCATCCCGCAGTTTTAATTGATCTACCGGTACATTATGACGTTACAAAGGAAATGCTAGTGGGAAGAGACATCTGGTCTCCAGGTACTAAAATGTTTGAAATATCGCTGCGATTCATTTTTTCAGTAACAATAAAAACATTTTTTACATTAATTGAGAACAATGAAAAATTTAGTCCCTTCCAAGACATTTTATTTAAAACTATCTATCGGCTTTTAAGGGTTAAAAAAATGTTAAATTCTTTGACTTCGCTGGAAGATATCATGTACGAGACACTTAATTATCAAATATTCATTGTATTACTTATGAAACAATTGGTATAATTACAAATGCTTTTGAGTCAATTAAAATTTTTATATTTCAATATTAATTTATTAAAACATTATTTTTTTTTCACAAAAGATTCTTTTCGGAGTGGATTACAATTTGATATCTCAATAATTAATTAAATGAATGAGATATTATAGTGCGCTATATTTTGTCTACAAGATCTTATTACTCTTTGTCTTTTCATACGTCATAAAAATCCCTTATAAATTGATTAATTCAATATATTAAAATTTGAATTATGCAGTTCTTAATAATATAATATCTCAAACCAATCAACTCAGTTCACGTCATTCGTTACTAAATACGATGACAAAATAATCTATTCATTTGAAGTATCTTTTGCAAAATAATCGTCGCTGTATAAGTTCATTAAAAAGAACATATCATTTTACAGAATATTCAATGATATATCGTCACATGTCACGTTGTTCATTTACGTTCAAAACTTTCGTAGTATAAGCTGAGAACTAATCTATCCATCAATATCAACCTGACATATTATGTATCAAATCAGTTTTCTCCATCGAATAATTTTTCTTTCATTAATTCATCATATTTTCAAACATTGTATCTAATTTACACTTTGCTTGAAATTCCATAGTTAATTTCTGCTGTAGTTACCTAGAATCACAATGACAGAATTGTAAATTATTAAAAATTTGAGATTATTTTTGATCTATTTGTACAAAGGTACGTACTACTATTGTTCTCAAAAGTTAAAATGAGTGTGCATACAAGAAAAACTATTCATATTTTTATACGCCCGGTAGTTCTTTTGAAAAGAAAACAGAAGTAGAATATCAATAAAAAATAAAAGAATTAATTAATATAATATCTGCTAAATAAGATAAAGGATATAAATAGATACAATGAACATTCTTATTTTAATACTCTGATTAATCTAAGAGAATATTAATTTTAAGAATTAGAATCAACATCAATAGATTTCTACAAATAATTTTATGTATGATGATCTTTTTCTTGAATTCTCTTTGATATTAATGAGCACATTTTTCATTTTAACTTAGTAAAAAAAGAAAACATTCATGCCTCAATTTTTTTTTTAAATCTATTTGAATAGAAAACAATAGACATTAAATAGAGATTTATTTTTCGAAGTAGTAATGCCTGCTACTTTATTTTTAAAATTTTGAAAAAGAAATCAAGTTCACATGAGATGATTTTTATTAATGAATTTCAGGAAGAGGAATATGGATATTATGTTCTGCTGATGTAAAAATATAATCACTAATTTTTGTTAACATTATATCTTCCATTTGTTGATTAAGATCATTATTAAATTCAAGAGTTTTTTTTCCTAATGGACTTGAATAAAATTCGATTAATTGAAGTATTTCGTCTAATGTATAATATTTTTCATACATGTGAGCTATATCAGATATATAGGCATTAAATGAAAATAAATCATCATATAATGCTCGCATATTATCATTATCTTTTGGTGGAAATATTTTTAAATAAGATAAAAATCGAGCATATTCATTTTCAGTTGTAATTAAATTTAAAAGATATTTAGTATAATCTTCAATATTACTTGATGATGATGGTTGTACAGGTTTTCCTTGACTTAATGTAATAGTCAAAAGTAAAGTTGCAATAAACATAGTAAAACGGATGATATTCATAGTGATACTAAAATGAGAAAGAAAAAAATGAGTAAATCTAATTTACATGTTATACTATAGATAAGAATATATATTCTTTTTAAAACCTATTGACACTATTTGTGACGAATATTAAGAACGACATGTATATATATATACTTCTAAATGGAATGATAAAAATTTAAGAGTGTATATTAATGAACTAATAGAATCAAAGAATATTCTCTCTTTTTTTTGTTCTCTCTATTTTCTTTTTTTTTTACTAAAATATACAATAGAATATTTTAGTTTATATTATTATTCATTTATCTCTTGTATAGATCTTCTTTTTCTTCTTCTCTGTACCTCGAATATAATATTTACGCGTCTGACAGCTAATTTAATGCAATAGGAGAAGAGAAACTCTTAGAAAATGAACAAAAAAATGTCATTTTATATGTATTAACAGATTTAAAAATTCAACATCGTAATATATAAATAATATCACTATCATACATGTAAAAAGATACGTACTCCTCTTGACCTATTTTTAATAAGATTATTTAATCAGATTTTAACTCATATTTCTTATTCAATTTGCACTGACAAAATAAATAGTTATCATTCTATTCATTGAACAATTACTCAGCAACTGTTTATTATTCTTAGTTATATTAAGATCTTTTTTTTTCCCTTATCGAGAATTTATAATTGTACTATAAATAGAAATATTAATACAAACGTTCATGACTTTAGAAAAAAGATTTTACTAATAATATATGAAACGTTCTTAATAATTAACATCAACAGCGTAAAAGATAAAAAAAAATAAAAGTTTCGAAATTATCTCAGTTTTATTTATGAAATCACCTGCGTCATATAAAACGAGGTAGTTACTATCTTATTTTTATACATATTGTTTCTGTAATTATAAATTCGATTATATGTTATTAGATTCCAAAAAATGACTAGATTTTTTTATTTTTCTCAATTTTATTATTAGACTAAACATCATATTTCATTGATTCGTAACATGCAACATAAAAAGGATTTCATTACAAATATGTTCTTATAACATATATAAAATTATTTACGAAGTTGTTTTTCTTGAAGATGAATATTATTGGTACATACATACTTTATTATAAAATATCAGCAACTATGTGTAGATTTAGGAATATTTTCGAGAGTGTCAATGAAGATATCTAATAGGAAATAAGCGTAGCTGAAATCTATCATTAACTAGAAAGACTGGAAAAATATTTGTACTGTTATATTTATATGGGAATTTAAGCTTCTAAGTCTATTTAAAGATATCTAAATGTTTTTTTAGCCCGCAAGTCTTTCACATGCGCATATTAAGTATTTAGATATACTTACATTATTAACAAAGTATCTAAAACCCTCGTAAATGGAGAATTACAGATGATTTATACATATCGTGATAGTAAAGCAAATAAGACCTGCTTATGAATATTACATATATAAGCATTTAATAACACCGCACATTTGCTAGAGCATATGGAAACAATTTTAAAATAGTTTTTTTGTGGAAATAAGTATAAGGAAAATCATAACATAGACAAGAATTGATTGTAATACTTTATATTTTCATTGACAATCAAGTTCATTACGAGAAAAATAGTTCTATTAGATCTACATTGTTAAAATAAAATCTTGTTTATTAAGGTTTTGTCATAATATACTTCTGTATAAAACAGTATCAGCTATGTAACTATTAATTTTAGTATTTTGATTATTCACAATCGATAATATCTTAACAATTAATTTAAAGTTTATGGACTACTTTCTAAAGAGAATGTTGAAGATTTATCCCAGTGATAATTTTTCTCATATTTAATGCATGAGATTATGATTTCCATAAAAATGAGATGTGGGGTTGAATACTAGGTAATTGTATTCTTTTTCAACTACGCCCACCCATATTTGCACATGCGATGCCCTCGCATAAGTACGTACTTTTGTTTTGATTAATCATAATAATAGTCTAAGACAAATTCCTAATCTTACTGTAGAAATAGTTAGATAAAAATAGATTGTTCATAATAGGACACGAAAAGAAATTATGTTTTACATATAAAATATATCCATTTTAAGTAACGGTTAATCATGACATTTTCCTTTATCTTATATGAGTAAAAACAAAATATTTTAACGATATAGATTACAGTATACAACTTGATATTTGCTGAATTTAATTATAAAACAATATTGCTAGTTTATTTAATATATCAAAAATAAAAACATGCTATTCCTTCAGTTCAGTTCAAAAATCTAGATAGAAAATAAAAAAGATAATGTTTATCATTTGAATTAAAAAGCTTATGGTCGACAGAAAGGGATATCATGTGCAGAAGCTTGTAATTTGACTACAATAGCTTCACTTGATTGTAATATTAATTTATTTAAGTTGATTTGATTTCCTTCTTTACCATTCGGAGAATCGTCCAACACATTACATGATCTTGCAACAATTTCTCCAAGTAATTCTTTGTCTTTATACTTCAATAATTTCATAAAATCAGTAGTAACCGGATTCTGACCTATTTTATTCATATTAATAACAATTAGAAAAACATTTGTATCAAGCCAACGTATAAAAGCATATAATTCTTTTGTTGAAATAACTTTTTTTTGATTACCACCATAAAAAGGTGATTGTTGACGAAGTTTAACTAGTTGTTGAAAAAGTTTAAGATGAGAACGTGTTGCTTTTTCTTGTTGTTCAACATTTACTTCATGCCATGTATCCGATAAAGGAAGATATGGTTTACTTGTACCAGAAGTAAAACCAGCATATGGTAATTGATCTGTCCATTGCATTGGTGTACGTTGACAATCACGTGTTTTTTCTTCAGCATGTTTATCTCCATAATTAAATGCAGTTATATCAAGAAATTCTTCACGATGTTCAAGTTTAAATGGACGATCAAACATGCCTAGAATATCAAAACGTTACTTATGATAATAAATGAAAAATTTTAAATTAGATTCCATACCAATTTCATCGCCATAATAAACTAAGGCTGTACCGGATTGTAAAAGAAGTAACATATAGAATCCATCAATAAGTTCTTTTTGTGGAAGACGTGTAGCTATTCGACGACTATCATGACTACCTAAACACCAATTTGACCAAGCATGATCAGGTAAATTTGAATGCCATTCGGATAATTGTTTATCTAATGCTAAACCATGTTTTTCATCATCTTCCTTATCAAGATAATATGTTATTAAAAAATTAATTGATACATCTGAACCAAGTTCTTCACGATTAAGAGCAAAATGTTCCATAACTTTTTTAATATCTTGAGCATAGGCCTTACAATTAAAAAAAGAATTAAATTTAAATTTTATTATAAATTTATTTTTATTTACTTCAGTAGCTAGAAAAATATAATCTCGATTGTTTTCATAAGCATATTCATCAAAGAATTTTCTCCATCGTCGTACAAGAACATAACTACCGGGTTGATCAGCTGTTTCTGTATGTTCATAGGCATCATACATTACTTCTGGATCAGAATCTTTTGCATTTTTCGAAAGAGGTTCATCACGAAATTGATCATTCTCTATGAGATGACGTACAGCATCAGCACGAAATCCATCTACACCCATATCAAGCCAAAAACGAAGAATTTTTTTCATTTCTTCCATAACTTTTTCATTACGAAAATTTAGATCAGGTTGACTATCCAGAAATTGATGTAAATAATACATTTTTCGTTCTGGTGAATATGTCCACATATGTTGACCTGATGCACCAACCCAATTTGTTGGCAGATCTTTTCCATTATTTTTACCTTCATGCCATATATAATAATCAATATAATTTGGATCATTACGAAGTGCTGCTTGAAACCATAGATGTGTATTTGCAGTATGATTTGGAACAAAATCAATAATAATACGCATATGACGAGAATGAAGATCTTTTATTAATTCACGAAAATCATCTAATGTACCAAAACGTGAATCAATATCACAAAAATTTGATATATCATAACCATAATCTTTCCATGGTGATGGATATATTGGTGTAAGCCAAATTGTTTTCATACCTAATGATTGAATATAATCAAGACGTTGTCTTAATCCTTGTATATCACCAATACCATCATTATTAGAATCTTGATAAGACGAAAGTATAATTTCATAGATAGGATCACGCATCCACCAATCTTGAGATTCATCATAGTCTGTATGAAATTGACAAAGTTCAAGTATAAATGCTTGACCTTGAGTTATTATTACATTTGTTAAATTAATACTTTTTTTAATTTTTTCCGTTGAAAGTGTTGTACAAGATGCAACTATTTTACCTTTACCATAAGTATCTAATAAACCATAGAAATTATATCGTCCTAATTCAGAATTTGAATCAGATTGTTTGTCAATAATAATAAGATAAGCTTGTTTATCCGTAAAACGAAAAAAACTAAATAAATTATCAGTAATAATAGCTGGTTTATATTCTCCAAGACAATATTGACTTAGATGATCATCAAGTTTAGCTTTTTTAAGTTCTTCGATCGATGTAATACCTTTGATATCACTGGAACGAAGAGATTCTAGTGGAGCTAAAAGACAAAATAATTCCCGACTTATAAATGACATTTTTTATAGTAACTGATAATATAATTATACATCGATAAAGAGTTACTAGTTGATTAAAACAAGCAATCATTGCATATACTGAGATCTAGGGGTCGCTGAAGAACAGAGAGATTATTCAATTCGACGATGGATATCAAGCTAAGGATAATTGTTGATATATGTTCTAAAGATTGAAATTAGTATAGCTTCCGATAGAATGTTCAACTCATGTCTACACTCTCTTAACCATGTATTGTTATTTGCTAAATGCTATTCACATTTATAGATATTCAAACGTAGGTAAAGTCATTGCTGATGATTATCAGATGAGAATTTCATTCATATAAGAAATATTGTCTTAACTGTCTAAATCTTTTGAATAGAATTCTAAGTAGTATTATGTATTATTCTGTTCTGCTATGTGTAATGTCGTTCAACTATATACAGTCAATTAAATGAAATGTGAGCGAACTCTGGAATGATACAGTCTTGAAATATATCGAAAAAAAGATACCAGTCTATGATAATTAATTGATAGTCGATCATCTATTTTTCTGTTATCAAAATGAAAAAAAAAGATTTTTATTTATGATATATATAAACATATATTATTCTCTATCGACACGCCCACAAATTATAGCGCCCTCTCTGAATGTTGAAATTCATTCGTAATTCTCTTCTTTTCGATATTTATTTTAAATAAGCATCCATGACATACATCAAATAAATATTTGAATATTCGTGAGTTCAAAACAAATGCGTGTATCATCAATTGGTAAAGGTCTTCGACATTCTCCATCGCCACGATCTCGTTTTTGTGAACATATATTAAATGATAATGATAAATCTTTTACATGTCGTCAACGAATTTATGTTACATGTCCACATTGTCAACGATCCTTATGTTTACATCATATAAATGAACATCAATTATTAATTCGATCATTATTTGATTCTTTAGTTAATCGCTTAAATGAATATCGATATGAATTAACAGTAAAACTTTCAATTCCATCACACACTCAAACACTTGTTAATAATTGTCTTGACGAATTTAAACATGATATAATTCCGTATGTACAACGAACATGTTGCGAAAACGATGTCAAACAAGAGGATATTGATCGTGTTGAAATTTTTATTAATAAAATGTTCACTCTTATTCAACAAATTCAATTCTATTGGGATAATAATAATAATAAAAAAGATCGAAAACGATCAAATAGTTCAGATGTAAGTTTAATGATCTTGAACAATATTCAACGACATTTCTTATTTTAGGACACAGATAATTCACCATCTACGAAACGTTTTCAGTTAGATGTATGTAATAATGATTTAATATTTATTAATTGTCTATATTCTTCATTTTTTATTCTAGTGTAAAAATACAACGATTATTCTCGATTAATTTTTTATTGTTTTTTTTTGCAGTTTGTATAATATTTGAAAAATATATATTTGTAATTTTTGTAGATTGTAAATATGGTGCTAAGTTTTATAGTTTGTATTATATGGCAAATATTATCGTTTACAGCTTTTGTTTTAAATTTAACAGCAAATAGTAGTGATCGATGGTGGGTTAATGCTAAAGAAGGCGGAGAAAAAACATTTATACGTGCCGGTTTATGGCAAGTTTGTTTTAATATGTATCGTCATCGATTCGATTATTACGGAAAAATTTATCATGGTTGTTGGTGGTAATTATGAAGATTTATAAAATAAAATATTAGTTTATTATTTTTTTCTAAGGTTATTTTCTCCAGAAATCCGTCTTTTACGTCCATGGATATTGAATAATTGGTTACGTTGGGTTCAAACTTTATCTACTCTCTCATTAATAACATCATTTTTTGCTGCTATTGCTACTCTACTTATTTTACATAATTATATTCGATTTAAATGTCCAAAACGTAGGTTACTTGATAATGGTAAATTTGAATGTGTAAAACGTAATTTATCTGATCATGATGAATTTAAACTTTCGAAACAAATTCTTACAGTAGCAGTTTTACATGCTTTAGCTGGAATATTAATGTTAGCTACAGTTATTCTTTTTGGAATTAAAGGTAAACGACGTGATTGGATGATGAATTGGCAATTTAATTGGTTTGGATGGAGTTTTCAATTGGCTATTATTGCTTGTATTCTTCATTTATTAACAGCGTTTATGGCTTGCTATCAAGGATTAAATAAGTAATAAAGATTTCTTTTCTTTTCTTTCTAGTATTATATTTTTTCGTAATCTAGATATTTATATTATACATACGATTACGCAAGAGTTCATCAAGAAATCGAGGATCGTTCGACATTAAAACATGCATCAGTATCGAAACGTACAGTGACTAAACGTGGTGGTGAAACACAACTTCCTCAAAATCTTTAAACAAGAGATAATTCATCTATTTTTTACAGATCTGTCTTTTTTTTTATATATATTTCCATACTAATTTAGTTTTTTAATAATAATAATATAGTTGTGAATAAAAAAATATATCTTTCTAGATTTAACTAAAATATGTGGCTTATTATTGGTATTATTGTTCTTATTTTAATTGTACTTGTATTAGGATATCTACTTCGTCCGATTTATCGACCTACATGTCTTAATCTTCGTGATGTTCATGTTGTTATTACAGGTGGTTCGAGTGGAATAGGAAAAGAATTAGCTAAACAATTATTAAATGAACATCAAG